ATATATCTGGTTTAACTTCAGCCTGCCCTGCGTTTGTTGTGAGCATAACTGCAAAAGAGAGAATGATATGGAGTTTCTTGCATGTGAGCTTTTGTGTTATGGACATGACAATAGAACAAATTGGTGTAGCTTTAGCCTAACCTGAAATTCTTGCTAGTGCAAGTGGCATGGATTCACATGCTTGTGCTTGTGCGTGTGCGCACTCATGTATACGTGTGCAAACACAAGTGAGCACTGACTGAGAATTTTACGAAATCACTAATTCAAAGCCTGCGAACATGAGAGGAAGTTTTCTGCAATATAGAATTCGTGTTTAAGTTGACGATATTATAAGTTGGTTATGGAGGTTAAATGTTGTTCTTTTAGGAAATTGGAAAATATGGAGACAGTCTAGTTTTGGAAATTGATGAGCGGGAAATGGCATGTGGCTACACAGAATCTGCTACCTCTTGGATCTTCGTTTTGTTTCTTTTTCTTTTTGCTGCTTAGCAGTCAAAGAAAAAGGAAAATAAAATGAAGGGAAGGTGATGGAATCATCTTGATCAGAAAGAGGTTAAAGAAAGGAAGTCTATTTGTTAGTCTGGCTTCATATGTCTGAAGGAGTTTCTGCATCTAGCCACTGCATTTCTGAGGAAATAATATTTTGATATTGGAATTAACATCCTTTGATGATTTATAGTAAACACGACGTGTTTCTGATTTAGTTTGGTAACAAATGTTGGTTACTTGTCTTTCCACAAGCTTGTAATATATTCGATTGTCTTCCAGAAGTAGGTTGCTGTGTTCACCTTAATGAGAAAAAAAACAAAATTGTTTGTGTTTAGTTAACTAATCCACATGCTATATGCAGAATTTCAGTTACCAACTATTTTAGGATTATGGGGAAAAAAGATCTTTTTTTTTTTTCCATGTTATGATTAGTAAATTTTTATCTCTCCCCTCCCACTGACGGTCCCCCCCAAAGGAATAATAATATCATTTATTTAGGGATGGTTCTACTCCTTGGTTGATTGAGAAATGAGTTTATAAGGAGCTGAAGAAATTTCTTCTCCCTTTGGGGTGTTTGCTGTAAGTTTTCAAGGATCACCTTTCACTCCATTATGAATTAGTGGGAATATTCCTGATAGTCATTCCTGTCTCCGCATTTAGGTTGTATTGAAGCGAAGCTAATGCCTGTTCTGTTGTAAAATTGTGTGCCTTGAGGAAGTTTATTCATTGCACGATGTTCATATGGTATGCTCTATTGGGTTTTGTGGTTATTTTTTTACAAATATGCTTTGCACCCCTTAGATAACTTTGCATCTTTTCCACCTTGCTAACAATTTGGTATGCTACACCTTGTAGTTGATTAGTCCTAACACCTACATGATGATCGATGCTTCTTCCTGGAAGCCAGGATGACATTTCTTGTATTGTATCTGCTTTTACGGTCCTTAGAAACATCTTAGTGCTGCATATATATGAAAACCATAGCCTGAAATTCGTGCTGAGCTATTCTCTTGTCATCTTCAATTAAAGCAAATTGTTTATTGTAGGATCTCTATGTCCATGTCGGCTGGCCATTATACAGGAAATACGGCCATGCATTTGAGGTAGATTTTGTAACTTTTAAACTTCACGTGTGATATTTGCCTCAACTTTGTATTGGAATGGCAATATCTACTTCTTTTATTTTTGTGTCAATATGAAGGCATTCAAATTAATTGTCAATGATCCTGATTCGGTGCTCGATTGCCTTACCCGCGAAATCAAAGAAGTTGGCCCTGATGGCCAGGAGGTACTCTTTGTTAAATGTCAATTTGTATGAATTTTTTTGCATATGGTTAAGTGGATAATTTGTAATCCTGTTATTCTACAGATGACTAAGATGGTGCCTGCCATATCTGAGGAAGTTAAAGACGCTTTAGTTAAAAATATCAGGAGAAGAATGACCCCACAACCGTTGAAGATTCGTGCAGATATTGAAATGAAGTGTTTCCAATTTGATGGTGTTCTGCACATCAAGGTCCCTGTCCATTCATCTGATTACCAGCTTCTTGAACAATTTTTATTATACTGCAAAATATGTCTGTCACGAGTGCTAACTATTGCCGAACTATCTTCAGGAAGCAATGCGTAAAGCCGAAGCTGCGGGTAACAAGGATTGCCCAGTTAAAATTAAACTTGTTGCCCCTCCAGCATATGTCCTCAACACCCAGACTCTCGACAAGGTTACTTACAAATTATGCTTGTTATGCTTAATAGATAAGATTGCCATGATGAAAATTTTATTTTTCTTCTCTTTTCTTTAGACATATCTCGCATCTTCCTTGTTGGATGTTCCAGATAGTTTTTAACTTTTCTTGGCATCTGTTTTAGAAACTGCAAAATAGTTCCACTTCCTACAAATTCTAATGCTGGCCTAACTGTCCCGTAATTTGTAAATGCTGGTACTAAGATTCTGCAGTGACTGCATGCCTATCACACTGACCATGAATTTTGGCTTATTTCTCCGTGTACTGTGTACGTTAAATTGGATGCCATCTGTAGTTTGAGGCACAGAAAAAGGATGCTTAACTACCATGTTAGGTATGGTCATGTGATGTTATGGAAGCAAAGGCAATTGTTGCTGTCGTCTATAGGTTCAAGTCTGTTGTTCATTTTCATTTCTTGATACAATAGTCGTATATGACATTTTCTTGGTTAACCATTTCTTTACTAATAAAGAATTTGATTCTTGCGCCAGTATGGAATTTAGGTTCTTGCATTTTTTCATTTGCTACTCAACAATATTGTTGCAAACTAAACTAGCAAAGCTGAAGGCTACAATAATAAATTCTACTGTTTCTTTGTTATTTCATAAAGGTTTTGCCGTGCCAATTATTTCTTGTGATTATAATATGTTTTATGTGTTTTCTATTCAATTTCTATCCCCCTAGAATCACATGGAACTGTAAATATAAGTTCGCCAATTTCGATGGGTTTTGTTTTGTACTGTAGGAGCAAGGTATTGCTATTCTTAACAAGGCTATTGAAGCTTGCATGGAAGAAATTGAACGTCACAAGGGAAAACTTACTGTTAAAGAGGCACCAAGAGCTGTAAGAATCATTACTTGTTCTTATATTATATTAGACGTTGATTTTTATTATTTGGACTATAAGTGCGTGTTTGATACTTTATATGGGACAAAACTGGACAGTATATTCTCCCTACAAAACCTGCTATAACACAACTTTGGGTGAAATGTTGTCTCTCTCTGTTTCTTCTGTAAAGGCTATCCTTGTCATCATCACGACTCTTGTTGCCACTGCACATCTAATATGGATGCTTTTGTTTAGGTGAGTGAACGGGAGGACAAACTACTTGCTGAGCAGATGCTTAAGCTGGGTCGTGAAAATGAGGAGGTTAGTGCAGACGAAGACAGCGAAGAGGAGGAAGATACAGGTATGGGAGAAGTTGATGTCGAGAATACAGGAACCATGTTCTAAGAGTGAAAATGCTGCTATTTAGTTCTACTCGAGAAAAATCTCTTTATACAGTTAAGTTATTTTCTTCAATTTTTGAATTAGGTATTAGGAGGGTGTATGAAACCTGTACGGAAGTTAGTTTACATATTTGCATTGCTCATTTACTATTGCCTTTGAGCTTTATTCGAATTTTGGACTTAGCGTTTAACATTTTCAATGGTACATTTGTGTTATATGCCCCTCTCCTTCGAGGTTCTAGCTGCTGCTCCTTTACCTGAGGAGTAAACAGCCCTATGGCCTGACCTCTTTAGAAGAAGAGAACCAGCATGGCCTATGATGGACTGGAATAGTGGAATTGGTAGGCTATTGAGCCCAAATTTATGTTAAATGCAGGCTTTGACATGTATTTCGATTTTGGACTTAATATTTGAATGTGTTAATATGTTGCATTCGTGATTGCGCTTCCCCCTTCGATATGTTGGTGTGAACGGATGGTTGTGGCTCAATGCAGTGAGCCAAAACATGGGTGGTCGATTAAAGTCGGGGACACCTGACGTACTGTGTGTATTGAATTAGTTTCCTCATTCCCATGGTTGAGTAGTTAAGATACTACTCCCTCCGTCCCAATTATATAGGCTTAGTTTCCTTTTATTCTTGTCCCAAATATATAGGCATGTTTTCTAATATAGAATATTTTCTTGTGTTTCTTTATCAATATACCCTTATTAAATTTTCTCCACTTAATGTGTCAATTTCTTGAAATCATCCAAATATATACATTTTTCACTTTTTGGAAACATGGAACAATTTTCATCATATTACATCATTCAAATTCTTTATTAGTTCCAACAATAATTTAGTTTTACATACTGAAAATTAAATAAGGGTAAACTAGGAAAGATTTTGGCAAAAATTAATTTTCAATAATATTAAATAAGCTTTCTTAATCCATGTGAAAAACGAAACAAGCCTATATAATTGGAACGGATGAAGTATTAAAGATAATGAGTAAATAAGATTTTAAAAAGATGTTCGTGAAACACGTGATTTGAATGTATGATGAACTTGAAATAATTGGAGCTTGTTTAACTAACTAAGCCTCTGTTTGTCTACCATTATTTCAAAAAATTTTTTGCCAGTAAGATTCTTCACCACATTCATTCAATAAAATATTCTATACACAAATCAATAAAGTTACTTTAAATTTCAACTACACATTCTTAAAAAAAAACTATTCATTAAACTAATTTTCTCCCAATAATGAGAGAAAAACAAGCTCTAAATTGATTTTGTTGTTTGCCACGTCTTAAAACTGTAGAAAATTAGTAATAGCGTGGTTTTAGGTCTATAATTTTCAAAAAGTAGGAGTGCTTTCGCTTTGCTGTTTTTAGTTTTCAAAAATATTAAGACACTGAAAGCGTGTTTCGTATGATATTTTTGAAATAAAAAATAAAACTAAACTTATAGCATACATAAAATTCGAAACACAGTTTTAACGTGTATTTAGCGAAGTTTTTAAAAATATTAAAAATATGGAAAATAGATGTTTAAATTTTTTTTAAAAAAAACTAAAATTCTGAAAAAAAAAACTTTCTCAAAAAATATAATTATAAAAATCCGAGAAAAGTAAAAAATGTTCAAGTTTTTAATGATTATTTACATAAAAGTTTTTTTTAATTATTTAAATGAAAACGAATAAAAATATTTTTGGTCAACGTCATGAATTTTTATTTTTTATATGTTAAACTTAATTTATTATTTTTTTAATTTTACTTTTGTACCGCGAAAAACATATTATAAAATTCACCAATTTCAAAATTTATATATTACTATTATACTAACATAAAATTATTCTGTTTTTATTGAATAATCAAATTTCATGAAATAAAATGTTATAAATCAATTTATTTTTACGTGTTTTCTAGTTTTCTATTTTGAAAAAATAATTTTTCAAAAAACGCATTTTTAACAATCTTAAAATAAACACTTACAAAAAATTGAAATACAAATCAAACATACTCTAAAATTTTGATTTATCAATCTATTTAATTTATTAATTTGGATCCTTATTTGAAGGAAACTGTCATTTTGAACATTAACATCCCACGTAAAGTGAAATTAGACAGTACGTTATTTGATAAAATTATTCTTTAATTTTACGTCATGATTTTGATGCCTATATTAACGAATTCAGTCGCGTGAGAATTCAAATTTATAGCGTTATGTCGATTGAAAACTCAAAATGATGCTAATTGGAATATAGATAGAAATCCGAGCCCTAATTTTCTAATAAAATTTGAGCTTTCTTTCAAGAATTCATTTTGTAATGTGATGAACATTGCTTTTCTTTCTTTGGAACTATTATGCGCGTCCTCCCCCAGATAAAATGCATGCAAATACAGAAAGAGAAATGCTATTTATCCTCACTGGGAATGCATCCCCAATCTATGTGGTGTTAATGTGGCATTAAATGATAGATGAAATTAAATAAATCATTTAATTTCACCTATCATTTAGTCAATCATTTAATGTCATCTAGATTGGGGATGCAACCCAACTGGGGCTACATAGCATTATTGATAATGTTTTCTAGTACTAGCAAATGCTATTCATCCCTACTGGGGACGCATCCCCAGTCTACGTGGCGTTAATGTGGCATTAAATGATATGTGAAATTAAATAAGTCATTTAATTTCACCTATCATTTAACCAATCATTTACATCCACATAGACTGGGGATTCATCCAAACTGAGGATGAATATCATTTTTCATATAGAAATCCATGCAATTAAAACAATCATTTTCACTGACACCCGTACCCCCTTCTATGAAGACACTGATAAGGAGGTATTTAATTGAGACTTGGATAAATATATATGTACATAATTATTGTACATAATGGATAACATGAGCTCATGTGGAAGAAATTCGACTTTGAATGTGAAGTGTGAAAAAGTCAAAAATTGTAGATTACCGATGGATGCACGCCACATGTCAATTATGTAATGTATTGTGTAAATGATTATGTACTTGTAGTATGGTATTTTGAAGACTTTTGTAGATTTGTATAAAATTAATAGAAGTCTTTCGTAGACTTCTATCGACTTTCATTGTAAAACTTTTATAGATTTTTGAAAAATTACATTTAAAATGGAATTTACGTACGAGGTGATGATTCTCACAATTACTTTTCCCTCCTATGTAATAAAATATTTATAAAAGAATAAAAATTTAAATCATCTTAATTAAATAAATATAAAAATGCTAGATGTACACCTGGAGTGTACATCATCCTTGACATTTGATGTGTTATCAAAAAAAGGATTGGAGGAAAAATTGTTTAATTTTTTAAACTATTAAATAGTATGTTGTTACGTGACAAAGTGTAAAAAATAGTGTGAATGATGATGTAAATATAGCATGATTTAAATAAACAATAATCAAGATAATAAAAAAAATATAAATTTCATTATCAATATGTCATACTTTTAAAGAGTAAACAAGAATTCAGTATATTTAAATTTAACTATAAATTAGTATTTTCATATAAAATTGTATAATTTAATTACGAATTGATATTTCCATAAAAAATGGATGAAGTAAGAGAAAAATGTTACCAGAATCTTTGGTTACAATTTAATTTTTCATAGAAATTGATATAAACAACAGAAGAGTAAAAAAGAAAAAAGAATAGAAACAATCGATAAAAAAAGGTAAAATTTATTCACGACTCTATAGAAGGAAAAATGAAAGAAAAATGAGAAGTACTAGATGTACATAATTTTTGTACATAGAGTGTTACATAATACTCACATGGGGTGGAGCCCACTCACATGGTGGGACCCACCCAATGTGAGTGTTATGTAACACTCTATGTACAAAAATTATGTACATCTAGAATTATTCAAGAAAAATATTGAAAGAAACAAAAAATACATATTAATTAATTTTTTTATTTTTATTTTTTGTGAGAATCTCTCAAAATCTTGAAATTAATGAGAGATAAATTTTAAAATTTTATTTTTGAACTTTTCAGTTAAAAGGTAGTACCCAAGAATTTTTTATAAAAGTCATTAACAATTTTAATAGTCCAAAACTTATAAAAGACTTTTAAAAAGTTTTAATTGAATATACGATGACTTTTAAAAACTTGATGGAATACACTAATACGTCTCAAAATAACTATATTGAATATTTCAAAAAATATTTTTAAATTACCTTTTTCTTTTTTTTTTTTCTATCATTCAAATCACACACGGTCTCTCTCTCTCTCTCTCTCCACCTCACAAACGCACACGCACACATCTCTGTTTTCAGCTTCGTCCAGAATCAAGATCTTGAATGTTATTACAATAACCTGATGATCTAATAACAACAATGGCAATATCATCGGCACTACCCAATCTTCTGAAACAAAAAAAATACCCATTCATTTTTGCTTTTTTCCTTTTGCTCATTTTCGTCACTTTACTCCTCATCTCCAACTCCCAGTCACCCATTTCTACCACTGCTGATCTCGCCCAATCCAACCCCTATTCTTCCAAACTGGTTCCTCAGCCTTCCACTCATTCACCTGTGAACACCGCTCCATCGAATAATACTACTGCTGCTACCGACACTAGAAAGGACACCACCGACGCCGGCGCCGGGGGCGGTGGTAGTGGTGATGATGGTGATGAGATGGTGGCAGTGGAGTGGAAGGTGTGCGAGGGATCAGTGGCGGTGGATTACATACCCTGTTTGGACAATAGGAAAGCGATAATGGCTTTACGGTCTCGGAGGCATATGGAGCACCGGGAGAGGCATTGCCCCGACCCAAGTCCGAGGTGTTTGGTCCCTTTACCCCAAGGGTATAAAATTCCAGTTCCATGGCCCAAGAGCAGGGATATGGTAAGATAATTAATTTCCTTTTTTTTTTTTGGCTTTTTTGTGGATCTTTAGTCTTTTTTGGATCAACCAGCTAAATCTCGAAGTTTAAGACATGTCAATTTATAGCTTTTAATTGCCTAACTAAAATTAATTGATGGATTATAAAAATGTTGCTTAAAGTTCTTTTCTCGAAAAGTAGATTATCAGAAATTACACTTAGTGAATTTTTTTTTTCTTATGGTTTCCATTTATTTATCTTGGTTCAGTGAGGTTCTTTTAGTTATTCTTGGCTCAAATGCATCGTGTAAAAATATTGTATGATTCCGGTTATCGGTTTTGAATTCTGTTTAGTTTATTGAGTTTGCAATGTACATAAATTTGATTCATTTCAATTGATAAATGGTACTGCTTCTGTATACTTCTTCAAAAGCATAATATCTGAAGAGTTTCGCTGCGTTTGGACATTTCATTGATTGCTTCTTGTAGAATAGTAATCCGTTTCTTTGTTTGCTTAACAGGTATGGTATGACAATGTTCCTCACCCTAAGCTTGTTGAATACAAGAAGGACCAGCGGTGGGTGATAAAGTCGGGCGATTATTTCATCTTCCCAGGTGGTGGCACACAATTCAAAAATGGAGTTTCTCATTATATTGATTCTATAGAAAAGGTCGCTCATCCAATTTTTATCGCTCTTCTCATTTTTGGTTTGCATTATTTGCTACTTGAGACTAAGCTATAGTTTTATCCGGATTGCACCAGACTTTACCAATTATTGAATGGGGGAAGAAAACGAGGGTTATTTTAGATGTTGGTTGTGGTGTTGCTAGCTTTGGTGGTTCTTTACTCGACAGAGATGCTATTACCATGTCTTTTGCTCCAAAGGATGAACACGAGGCTCAAATACAGTTTGCCCTTGAACGGGGAATTCCTGCCACGCTCTCAGTCATTGGAACCCAAAAGCTGACATTTCCTGATAATGCTTATGATTTGATTCACTGTGCACGGTGCAGGGTTCACTGGGATGCTGATGGTACCACCCTTTTCAGTTTTTCTGTCATACTCGTCTTTAAGCATATTACAAATCTACTTATTGAAAACTGCAGGTGGAAAACCCTTAATGGAACTCAATAGGGTTCTTAGGCCTGGAGGATTTTTCATATGGTCGGCCACACCAGTGTATAGAGAGGATGAAAGAGATAAGAATGTCTGGAAATGTTTGTAATCGACATACTTTAGTTCACTTTCTCAGGAGTAGTTTTCTTATATTTAGACTTGTATGGCTTATAGCATTTATACCATGGATTTTGTATCCGTGTCTTGCAGCTATGGTAGCTTTGACAGAAGCACTTTGCTGGAAGGTAGTGGTGAAGACCTTTTTCGACTCTTCTCAAGTCGGGTTAGTTGTATATCAAAAGCCAGTGTCCTCTTCCTGCTATGAGAATCGCAAAGAAAATAATCCACCTCTGTGTGATCTGAGCAGCCGGCCAAACAGTTCATGGTACTACAGTTTAATGGTCATTATCTTTTCACAGTTGTTGCTTCGATCACCTTCTTGATCAATCATTTCCTGCAAATAGGTACGCTCCTCTGGACGGTTGCCTTCCACCACTTCCAAGCTATGCACAGGAGTGGCCCTCATCCTGGCCTGATAGGCTCACCAGTAAACCTCCAAGCGTATCCTCAGAACCAGATGCCGTGGAAACATTTAATGCAGACACCAGACACTGGTCTGCACTTGTTTCTGAGGTTTATCTTGGAGGTCTTGACATAAGTTGGTCAAGTGTGAGAAACGTGATGGATATGAATGCAGGTTATGGAGGGTAAGATGGGTGTTTCTCATCTCATTCCAATAAGTCCATTTATTTTTCCAATGTGTTTTGGTTCATGGTTTCAGGTTTGCAGCTGCACTCATAAATCTACCTCTGTGGGTGATGAATGTAGTCCCCATTCATGAAACAGATACTTTATCTGTCATCTTCGATAGAGGGCTGATAGGAGTTTACCATGATTGGTGTGAATCTCTCAACACTTATCCTCGAACATACGATCTTCTGCATTCCAGTTTCCTATTCAGAAATTTGACACAAAGGTACTAAAAAAACTTTGCAGCCCTAGAATCATTAAAGTAAGATCAATTTGTAATCACTAAAATTTAATTCAATATTATCGTGTACTTTGTTCCCTTAGATGTGACATGATCGATGTAGCTGTGGAGATGGATAGGGTACTAAGACCAGGTGGATATTTGTTAGTTCAAGAGAGCATGGAAATAATTAACAAGCTCGTCTCGATTCTGAAATCCCTTCATTGGTCAGTAAATGTACATCAAGAACAGTTTCTTGTGGGGAAGAAAGACTTCTGGCGCCCAGAGGGAAAAACCACAATATGAAGATTCTCAAGTTTTGAAAGTGTACAATCTTATATATATCGAGTGTAGAGGAAATACATTCTTTTCAGGTTATTTTCGGAGGTTAGGGATTTTTTAAGAAAAATGCTTTGTACTATGTTGTTTATTAGAAATTGTACAAGTTCCAAATTGATAGTACTATCATTGAAATATCACAACTTATCTTGGATGACACTCTGTCAATCTCCATTTGAAGATTTAACGGATGAGATGACGTGACTTGCATAATTTCATATGTTACGTGAGTTAAACGTTGGTTTGGATAAGTTGCATTTTGAAAAGGGATTGTGATAGTTCAGTGACATTCCGTATTTGTATTAAAATACATTTCGTGTAGAACAGTAGCACTCGGATATTTTACCCACATGCTTTGGAAGTCAAATTTAAATATAATTTTCGCATCAATACAGCACATTTAAAAAAAATAGGTTTAAAGGGACACGTGTAAATCAACCCCCTAATGTAGCACTGAAAAGTTGTGCATTTACAAGTAGCTATAACACAAAGAACATTCGTTCCTCATTGCCCCCACATGGGTCTCTGCAGACTGCAGAAAACCTCTCTGTTTGGCGGGTACTCTCCGAGTCTGTTAAGCTACACTGACTTACTCCTATATATATACATTATACACACATGCACTCCCCATTTCTTCACTCGTTTTCTCTACATTCACTACGAAGTTAGAATTTGGAGTTCTCAGTTTCATCAAAAATCTGATTCAAATCCAAATTCAAATGTTTTACTCTCATCAGCTACTCGCTCGGAAAGCTCCGCTTGGCCAAATATGGTTGAATTCTGTTTATTACGTACAGAAACTTGAATTTAATTGTGATTTCGGCTGTATTATTTTTATATTTGACATTTTTATGATTGTATATGTAAATTTGTTGGTAACTTGGTGAGCTCTGTTTTTGATAATTAATGTAGTTTCTAGTTTAGTCTGATGGTGCGACATTGATTTTTTCTTTTTTTAGTAGTTTTAGAGATTTAATATCTTGCCTTAAATGTGATTTCAGTTATGGTAGAATAATTTGATTGCTTCAAGTGTAAGCTTGATTGAATTATGTAAATATATTAATGAACTCTGTTTTTATTAATTGAAATAGAGTTGATTAATTTGTGAGACGTTGAGGTTTTTTCTTCAGTAGTTTAGAAGTTTAATTCGTTTTGTGTTGTAAAATCATAGTCCGTGAGTGTAAGTGCGCATTAGTATTTGAATATTAGTTTTTATATTCTGCTAATTCAAATGTCTGATTGATAATCATGTTTTCGTAGTGGTTTTTATGAAACTATGTTGATTTCCTTTGATTAAAATAGTTGTTGTACTATAATCTCATGTTTGTACATTGAAATTTACCGTGTTGGGAATGGGTCTTGGGTGAGAAGGATGGCCGCAACTATGCATTCAAGGATCAATCGGAGAAAGCTAGACAAGCTCAACATTATTAGAATCTGGTGAGGCCTTTTTTCACTACAAAATTTTCAGTGCAACCTAAATTCTGTTCTATTTAATTCAAGTTGACAATTCTTTCTATTTTCAATATAGTGAAGAGATTCTAAATCCTAAGGTTCCAATGGCTCTGAGACTTTCTGGGATTCTCATGGGTATTCTATTATGTTTTATCTACTTCAATTTCCACTTCTTTTATTGAAAAATTCACTTACTGCGTCTTAACATTTATTAATTCCTTTCTCTCAGGCGGAGTTGTAATTGTTTATGAAAGAAAAGTGAAACTCCTCTATGGTAAGCTTTTAATTTATTATTATTATTTTTTATTTATTTATTTTTTTTTTTTGCAATGGAAATAAATTTCATAACCAATTGTAAAAAGAATTTTACTTTTATGAACAATTTTCATGTAAAACAAAGTCAAACGAACACTAAATTTTGATGANCTCTTTTTTTTTTTTTTTCCTTCTTCTGGGGGATATTATGGTGTCCTTTTACAGATGACGTAACCCGCCTACTGGTAATAACAGCAATTTTTTCCAATACCATCGATCTCTCTTGCTATGCTGTTCTCTTAATGCTGACTAGGATTTACCACGTAGATTAATTTTAATTGTTTTTATCCAGGTGGAAATAAATGAAGCATGGAAGATTAAAGCAGGTCCATCAGATCCAACTATACTTCCCAAGGGCAAATCTCAAGCCAAGTCAGTATCATTATCCTCTATTTCTTTATTTGTTTTTCAAACTTAAGGGAATATTATTGTTGTTAACTTAACCTGAGCTATAATTTCCATTTTGTTTCCTTTCTTCCACAGGTATAATGCTGTTACATTGCCTGAGAATCGCGAGGAAGACCTTGGGGAGATTGAACGGTCAATGCAATATTCAGATGGAACAACTATGATGGGTTTTCAGCAGAGCTATATTGCCATGGTAGACCTTGTAACACTACTGCATTATATAATTAATGAAAATTCCCTAGAGAATACATGGTAATCTTTTGCTGAATAGTGTGCTGTGCTATTTTCTAATGAAATACAGAGGTTCCTGTTGATGATTCTTACTTGGAAATTTCTCAATTGAGAAACCATTAGTTCATACTTTAATGCTTGTCAGATGTATACAATAAGTAAAAGATTTCCAGTAGCATGATCATTGTACTATATAGTGGATAATATGAAAACAAGCAATTCTATACAAAATCATTTTCATATCTGAAATTTAGCATGCATCCCGTGAACTAGATGTTTCTAATCTCATTGTTATTCTGCTGAAGGTATGGAAACTATTCACTTGTGCCTATTTTCCTTGTACTCGTGGATATTGCCCGTTTGATGCCATTTTGTATATACAAACTCTTAAGATCTTCGTTAGTTAAAGTTTGTAAAGATCCATCGATTTAACATGTTAAAACAACGGATTCCTCCTTTTCATACCCTGAAACTCCAAATATTCTATCCAGCTAATGTGAAACCACTAATTGTTCTAAATCTTGAATGACTCATTCAGCCTATACACTCAAGACAACCTTGCAAGATTTTTGACTGAGCATGCACTGCCTTCTTTTGTCACTTCATTAATGTGGACTATGTGAACAAATTATCTTATGAAGCCTTGGCAATGTCCCTAGGTGGTAATGCTGCATTCCTCTTTTCTATGTGCAGAGACTGGACAATGTAGATGAACCCTACTTGAATCAAAATCCACATGAAGATCCGAACCCGAATCACCACCAAGGTACCTGCGGTACTTTTATTTCTCAGTGGTTAATGAAGCAGTGTTGGAAGCATTTTGCTTCTGCATCTTTTTCCTAATGTTCTAGTTAGTATAAAATCTGCTAATCCATTCCTCTCCTACATTGTGTTTCTGTCAGTTGATGCAGCTGATATTACCTTAGTTGATAGTTTATATTCACACCAGGCTGATACGAGTACATTCAATCACTTTGAAAGGTGAATTCTTAATCCGAAAGCAGAACAGTATTTTTAAAAAAAATATATCTGTTAGAGATCTATGCTGCAAGAATGGACTTCCAAGAAGATTTTAATTTGCTTAAATCTTCATATTTTGTTCTTGGGTTGCTTAAGCGACACTGATTTATTCTTCATACTCCCCTTTTATTGTTAAGTTTCTTGATTTTGGATGGTGTTACAGGTTTGATATTGAAGATGATGAGTCACAGTTGAATTTCTCCCAACCACAACATACTCAGATCCCTAGCAGTGTTATACCATCACCGCCTCCTCAAGAGGAGCCAAGGAAACGTAAGGAACAGAACAATGTCCTTGGTTACACTGTTTATATTAGTGGTAGCACAGACGTTTTCTTTAGCTTATGCTCGGTGATGAAAGTTTCACTCGTAGGTGAATTGTCAAGTTCCTCAATGTTGTAAAAAATACATGCAAATTTATGTCATTAGAGTAGTTGATGCTGTTAACAACAACTTGGTTTTTCTTTTTCTGGGGGGTGGGCAGGGTAAATATGAGACAGTCTAGAATTGTGTTTATGCAAGTGTTCAAAAGAAATGTGTAAATCGTTTCTACTATGAACTGTATGAAATAGCTTGTGCAAGTCATTGCAAACATTATCTGAAATTCTGAACCATTTCACTATTGTATATCATGAATGAGATATAAAACCAATAACAAGATAGAGAAGAAAAGAAAATAAGTATAAAATGTGAGGACACTAATACAGGGTATAGTGAGTTACCAACTAGTTAGATTGTTTTATAGCTAAATTGTGAATCCCTTGAACCTTGATAAAAATAAGACAACAGTATTTATGTAATCTTTCAGGGGTCAAACCATTGGTATTGCTCTCCTGAAACGCAGGGACCCTTGAAAAAGAGATGGATTTAACATGTAAACTTTGTTTCTGTTTTTGAGTTCTATTAATTATTTAATTTGAACTCTTGCAGCTGATGAAATCTTTGAACAACATCCTGAGGAGAGAGTCAATCAGAAATCTGGGGAGAGAAAGGAAGCTAATCAGGTAGTCTAATGTGCACATCAAACTGTGATCAGAAATGAATCGGATTTATGTAATCAGTTTAGAATATTCATATAATTCTACATCAGCCCGATCAAATGAGGCAGATGCCGGCTCGTAGGAGAGCAAGAAGGCCTGCAGCTATAGCCATGGACTACGATCACATGATTATACCTTGTCACACATATCAATCTTGGCTTCGGAATTCTTTTGATATTGTGTCAAAAAGGGGAAGAAAGCGAAAGGTAGTTTTCTCTACTTACTCGTATGCCTTTCATAGTTCACTTGTTCTTTTACGTATGCCACAACTTCAACTCTAGAGCAGTTCTATGTGCAAACCCAGTGTTGTTTTCATGATACATTAGGATTTCGTGATAGACTAAGATTCATGCCCTGTTCATTTTGAAGTTTCCATTCATAGCTTAACTCGGCTTAGACAAGTGATGTTTAACTAGAAGTGTCAAATTTAAATGTGTTACAGAACTTGAATGTCATGTCTAAAATGAAGATAGCCAGGCTCATGGAGCTACCTCCTGTTGTTCTAATGGAGAGGTTATTTACAGACAATAGAGAAGTTCATTATCCAGCCCCTCTTTTGGAGCTGTGGATGAGAAGTACCCAACCTCCACATGATTCACCCTCTGGTCAGATTTTGCTTGACCTCGTGCTTTTGATTCTTCAGAAGAACAGGACTCAACATTTTTAGTTTGTATACAGGTAGAACTTCCATGCCCCAGCCACCTGAAGCATCATCATCAACTCCATCAGAAAGAATGCATTTTGCAGTGTCACCAGGACATGTAAACTACCAATTTCATCAAATGAAGTTTTTGAAAGAGTTGTTTTTGTCTTTGTCTAATTAAATGCTTGGATGTGAAGCCTTTTGAAGATATTCACAGTGGAATTGGCTCCCAATCAATGCCAACTTCGATTGAGAAGCTAGTGTCTCCAGAAAAAGTCCATAATAACGTGATGCTACCTGAATCCAATGGACTGAGTGCATCTAAGGCCAATTTAATGGCCACCCCTGGAATCTCTGGTATGCTAATGTTTACTTATCTATGGTACTCCCAGTGAATAACGTGCTTATAATCTGAAGCTATAGGCAATGGAGCAAAATCAATCCCCAGCTCAGGTTTTGGATATGATTTTGTAACACACAATTTAGAAGTCAATTCTGGCAGGTTAGTTCAATCTATTTCACTGATCTAGAGGAATTATAGATACCATAAATTGGATTGCATGCAAAACCATTAATGTTTGATGTGTTAGATCATTTAGTTTTATGAATTTATCTAAACATTAACTTCTAGATTCTGTGTATTGGAATTAAACTGTCAAGGTCCAGCAAGAAAAGACCCTACTCTTCGTCTAAGCGCAGTGGAAACAGCCTTGACACTGTTGAAGAGGAGTGGCACCATTCTGACCTGAGCTTAAAGTTAGCTGGACGACCGGGGAATGGTTTCACATCTGATAATGGTATGGATGCCTGTGAGTTTTTTAATAAATTCCAACTTATGCTATTCCGATAGCTTGCCTGTTTATTTTATGCCCAGTAACTCTACTTATCTTCCAGAGGAGTTGGTGGAAACTGGACCAACACAAACTCAAATTATCGATCAAGCACTTGACAAGATAACTGATTCAATGAGAAAGTAACATCTCCATATATTCAAGAATCCCCTTAATTGCACAAAAATAAAAATAAAATAAAATTAATGAATCTATGATGAATGCAGGCACTTGAAGACTCATTTTGACACACCAGGATCTGCCAAAGTAGAATCATTGAACCAGTTAGCTTTAGGGATGAATAAAAAGAGCGCAGCGTGTCTTTTCTACCAAACTTGTGGTATACACTTTTACTCCTTTCTTTATCCTACAGTAGCAGCAATAATTTCACTGCAGGGATTGATCTCAATAATTGTTATTATAAGTGAGATGAGTGTCTATTTTCATGTGCCAGTTCTTGCTACAAGAGACGTCATAAAAGTCGAACAAAAGGAACCCTATGGAGAAATTCTCATTTCCAGAGGTGCAAAGATGTGAAAAGAAAAAAGACTGCCTAAATGCATAATCTCTTGTATATGCAACCCAGTAAGGTTCATATTTTTGTCACATTAAGATATTCTATCGCTATGTTACAAGCTGACTTGTTATAGAAATAGGATAGTCCAGGGACTGCCGGAAAAAAATATTTAGCTATAGCAAAGACGAAAAATTAGTGAGAGGTTGTTTATTATGTTTCGCTAGAGTCATTCTTGCACTCTATGCTCTAAGCTAAGAGTTCTCGAAATTTACCCAAAAAATAATTCTAATGGATCATTTCACTAGTTGAATTTACGTGGGCATTACAGTTAGGCTATTTATTATGGCTTTGTTCTTAGATCAGCATATTCAATTGAGAATTCTTGTTGCTTTTGAGTTACACCTTTATAATTCGAATCAAATACTCTCTCTATTTACACTTTTATAATTCGAATCAAACACCTCTATTGGACTAAGTACTTCAAATTTGAAGGTATTAAACTCTTGAGAAGAGTACCAAACTTCACTTACTTTTCAATTTTCCGAGTGGGTGTTTCTTGGGTGAAATGCAACCAAGTAGATGTTACAAGTTTTATTCATCACCTAACCACTTTGCTATTGGTTGCTTGGAGATGATGAGATGTGATTGGTGAACTACAAGTTGAAGTGAATTTGCTATTTATTTCATTCCCTCTATTTTTTTCACACCTAATGCAAAAATTCATAGAAAAGTAAGAATGGCGTTATATGCAGTATAAACATTACGAGCATGTTTGCATATTTCTTTTTTTCTCCTGTAAAACCGATCGAATCCAAGACCCTTTTAAAGTACTGACTTGGACGACCTGTCACGATAAGGATAAAATAAATTTAGCTGAACTTTTTTTCCGAAGTTTATATTACTTCAATTTGTTATTGTCCTCGATTTTTGAGGAAGGATTAAATTGGGTCATCCAAATTTAAGTCAAGTCGTATTTAGGTAGTTCATATTAATTTGGGTTTGGTGCAATCAAATGACGTAATTTCGATTTGCTTGTAAATCTGAACATTATATTTGCTACAGATCAGTTTAACTAAGGTAATATGGTGATTTAAATGTTAACGACTGATAAGAGTATGGCGGGCAGGTGGGTTGATGCAAGACATTAAACATGGATGACCCGCTATTTATGAAACAATTTAATTTTGCAATAAATAATATTGTACCAATAGGTCCACCAATTACGTTATTTCCAAATTTTGACAATTTATTTTAATTTATAAGTTACTTCTGTTACTCAAAATAAGTAATTTACTCTTTATGAATAGTAAAATTACTTCCCATTCAAAAAAAACTGTTATTAGTAATGCAAGACCAAAAATAGCAACAATTTTGGAATTAATATCGTGTTAAAATAGAGTACAATAAAAAATAAACAAAAAATTGACTTTGTAGGGTTATTTTACTCCGATGAACTTCTAGTAGCTTATTATTTATTTATCGACTAAATTCCACGAATGCATTCTTTTAAGACATAAAAACATGAAGAATTACTCTCATACTAATTACACAGAATTTAATATTTAGGCCGATCGATAAATTTAGAAAAAAATATATATATAGGGTTAGGCTTTTTCAACTTTTTTGTGGTGTAGTCTATGTCTCAGTGAAGTTCTAGATTCTCAACCAATTTAAATATGAAAATTTGGTCCCCACAACGTGAAAATTAGACTCGTGTTGAAGATAGAGAGCAAAATCATTGAACCATTTAATACATCTATCAAACTCAACTTGATGTCTTTTGAAATTTTAATGTTCAACTTCAACCTGATACAGTTGGTCACATAAATGCCTAAATTCATAGATTTAAATAAATTAACAACTTAGAACCCCCACTTTTGAATGTTTAAATCTATAGCCATACCACATTAATGTATTGACATTCAAGACTAAAATTAGTCTCCATTGCATTGTATAGATAGGCGTCTTTTTTTTTTAAAATAAAATAAAATCATATTTTTTAAATTTGAATAGAAAATATAAATCAGGAAAGAGTATTAATTTTGCTTAGTTAGTTTATTTAATAAGGTTTTTAAATACATATGGATATTTAGAAATTATCTATTTTTCCTCATGCCATATCAACTTGATGGAATCCCCATCAATTTGCAATGACGAAAAGTTTTTAAATACCACATATTTTTGCTTATGCCACACAAATATCAAGAAATCATCGATTGCATTGGAAATGCTCTAAATTCAATCAATTCTATTTACAATAATTATACTTCCATTTTAGAGTTAGTAAGGTAATTATACTTTAAATGTATGCAACTGGGTACTACACTTTAACAATCAGGTAATTTCACTATAATTTAATTTCAATTAGATAATTGTCCTTTAATTTGTTTTCAATTAAGGCAATTTCGTCCAATTCAACTGAAAGAAATTGATTATGTTTTAATCAATAAATGATGATTATCGCAGATGACCATTTGTTGCTGACTTCAGTTGACATGTCTTCGATTTCCTTCAATCCAAATGGTGAAATTGGATGAAGTTACTCGATTGAAATCAAATTGAAGTATAATGATTTAACTAACCCCAGTTTGGCCCCATTATTCCAAGTTATAATGAGAGGAATAATAATTTTTTAGAGAATGTGCGGTTAAAAAGGAAAAAAATTGAATTTATGTATAATATTATTTTATTGGAGAATCTGTAATTGATAAGAAGAGAGAGAAAAATAAATAAAAATTTAATGGAAACCAAACGTGGGCTAAATAAAATTGAAATACAATTACTTGAATGATACTAGAGTAAAAGTATAGTTAATGGATTTACTTGCCTAAATGCCAAAAAATATATTAAGTACTAACGCTCAACTTTGAGGACCATGTTGTAATTTTCTCTTAAATCATAAGTCCTCGTATATGACAACAAATCAGCCACAGCCATCAACTCTACCCCACCTCAATTTCCAAGCAAGAACACCCAATGCCTCCGCAACCCTACCAACCAGGGCCCCTACTCGAAAATCCGATAGTCAAACGACAATATAGAGATAGCTCCAAAGCGGGCCCCGCAAATGACTTGTCCTGGCTATTTGTTTCAGAATCGATCAATATCAACTATCGACATTCAATTTTCGTGTATTACATTATTATTCATAATCTTATAATAATACTGTCAACATCAACTCTTAGTTTATTACACCATGCATTTTATTTTCAATATTTAAGTTTTATTCTTATGAATCAGCATTTGAAAAGTCACCCGCCTGCGCTGCAGTTTGAGAACAAATCTTCGGAAAACTCACAAATTACTTTTGAATATAAGAGAATCATACGAATCCGTTTCAATATAAACCTTTTTTTCGGGAATTTTAGCTTTTTTTAAAGTCAAAGAAAGCCTTTTTTATTTTGAGATTCCAGTGTTTTGTTTGTTTAATGGTTTTGTGTATGATACACTCATACGCGTTATCAAGAAAGAGTCTTGGGCCTCCTGGCATTTATTTGGTTCACAAAAACGCGAAAACGCTCTTTTCAAACTTCTTATATCTTTCCTTTTTTAATCAATTTGTACTATGATATTCAACCTTCTGGTTTTTCATTTTTGCATTTGTGGGCAGGACTGAGTCAACTCGGTTTTATGATTGGAGGATTTTCAAGATTTTCGTTTGTTGGATTGATCATATTCTGTGAAAAGAAATTGTGGGTTTGCTTTAGTTTTTGAGGAAATGAAAGAGTTTTGGGAATTCAAAAGTCATCTTATACTGGTGCTGTTTATATGCTGTCTGAATCTTAATAACTTGAGTTTTTGCTGGTCTCTCAATGATGAAGGTATGGGCTTCTTCTATTTTATTAGATCGAAAAAAGTTGCAGATGAAAACATAGCTTTGTTTTTGAGTTTTAATTTAGTTGATTTTTTGCTGATATATGTATGTGTGGGTGTGTAGGTGTAGCTTTGCTGAGATTTAAAGAGGGAGTGGAGAGCGATCCATATGGCGCTTTATCAGATTGGAATGAAGAAGTTGGAGTGGAAAATCCATGTTCCTGGTTTGGCGTTTGGTGCTCAGATGGACATGTTGTGGTTCTGTAAGTATACAGTCTTGTCTCGAGTCAAATGGTTTCCTTTATGATTTGCTATAATCCTATTTTTGATGAGCCTTTCTGATTTGGAATTCTATGTTTTTGAATCTTCCTTATAATTTGCTTGTGTTCTATGATTTGATTGTCATATGTTAAGCAGACTTACATGAATGAATCACATATAAGAAGGCAACAAATATGCTTACTTGGGGAGGTTAAAATTTTCCTTTGATGGGGGAAAAAGTGGCAATTGATGTTTCGTGTAACATTCTTGGTAT